GTGCCAATAGATGGCACTGTTGCCCCACTTTTGCCATAATTAAACCAAGTCTATTCTACTCCGTTACACAGGCAGGACAGGCCCTGTCAAGGCACACACTAGCGTGCCATGGCATACTGGTTGAGAAACACTGCGCTAGGCTATGGGTCCTGGACTTTACTTTGAGAAGTAGCTCACCTACTTTTAGGTTTGTTTGTTCTGAGGCTGCTACACATAATTTGTGTATGCTCTGTGATGTGTCTTCTGATCAGATATTAAAGTGAGTTAATACAAACAAACAAATTTGTACTTATTCCCNNNTCCCTCACCCAATGAGAATCGATAGGAGAATCGATAAGGAATTGGATCGATAAGCATTATCAATAATGGAATCGGAATCGTTAAATTCTTATCAATTCCCATCACTAAAAAATATATACATTATATACAATAAAGTGGAATATGATAAGCCTGTGTATAATTGTAAATGTGCAATGTTTCAAGGGATTTTGCAAAAAAAAAAGATGATTTGTGGCGTTGTGGAGTCGGACGACTGATGGCACAAATTAGTCTCCCAAGCGCTTTTAGGCACAGGGCTGGATGAGTCTTTGGCTGAAAGTGCTCCTCAGCTGCCTCAGCTCAGCGTAGAGAGTATGAGAGGGGTTGTCTGTGATGGCTTCGTCACTGCCTCCACACTGTCCACGCTGGCCGAGCTTGACTTAATGCTGTTCCCGGCTAACGTCTGGTGTGGGCGGTTTAAGCACTCGGCCATGTTCTGAGCCAACAGAGTGCAGGACCAAAGGAGGCAGGCTCTGTGTTTACATCAATGACATTGCTGCGGTTACACCGCACTTGTAGCAGACCTTACAGTATGATGTTAGGCAAACCAACTAGAGAACTGTGGCCTGGGATGTGATGTGATGTTACCCTGCATTGAGATTGTACAACACACTTCAGTGCAGACTTGAAATGTTCAGTGAACCATAAGAGCAGGTAACATGTTAATGAAAACTATACGTAGCCAATATTGTTCGTAAGTGTGGCATATATTCGTATATAGTATTTACATGTTATGACCCTAACATTGTCTAACATAATTTAATTTCCCTGACTTAGTGTTGTGTTTGTCCTTCAGGTATCCCAGTTGAGTCCAGGGTGAACATCTTCATTAACAGCTTTGGGTCCATCCAGGAAACTACTATGGTGACACACACAACAAAAACATGTTATTTTCTTAGTTTCTTCAGTTTCAAATGTATGTCTGTATAGCTCATGGTTATATTAATATTAGTAGTAATACACAGTAATAGCACTATGCTGGAATGATATGATATGTTATGATAATTATATATCTGGATATAGACCTGGAAACTTTTTTTAATACAATATTTCTCTTTCTAAAGGACTACAGAGTGAACATATTTCTTCGTCAGAGATGGAATGACCCTCGCCTACGACTTCCTACTGACTTTAAGAGTGAGGCACTGACTATTGACCCCAACATGTTCCAGTGTTTGTGGAAACCAGACCTTTTCTTTGCCAATGAGAAAAATGCAAACTTCCATGATGTCACACAGGACAACATTCTGCTCTTTATCTTCCGTAACGGAGATGTCTTGATCAGTATGAGGTGTGGACAAACTCTTCTTTTTTTTCCTTTTTTTCTTTATAATAAGTTATAATAATAATAATATAATTTCAAGTTTACAGCTCTTGGTTTGTTTTAATTAGTCAGTGTGAAAACGAAGCAGACCAGAACTTAAAGGCAATGTACATGACTATATAATACTTACAAAATGAATCAAAGTCACATTGACATTCAATTTCCTTGAGGGAGTTATCCCAAAGGGATCAATAAAGTGAAGTCTAAGTCTAAGTCTCTATTATTGCTAGCAGATGTTAGCATGCTAGTGTGCTTCAGATGGTAAACATGGTAAACATTTACCCTGCTTAACATTTAAGCATTGTCATTGTGAGAATATTAGCATGCCGACATTTGCATTTAGCTCAGCGTGCCCAAGGTAAGCCTCACAGAGCGGCTCAGTGCTGTTGACTGTTTGTCTTAAGGCTAAAGAGATCAAGTTAGAGTGGTGTTGGGAAAAACTAGCTTAGAATAAGAAACATTCTAATTTTGTGGTAAATGATTTGAAATGCTTTCTAATGCTGCCCCCAACTAAAGATTTTCCTGGTCAACTAGTAGTCATTAGGCAATAGTCAACTAGTTCTAGCACGTTTATGATATTTATTTAATTATTTGAATATATATATTAACAGACGCCTGTTAAATGATAATGGAAAAAGCAGTAATGATTCGGAACAACCAGTAAGGAGACTGAACATTTTATTTCAACACAGTGTAATATTACACAGTCTCATTGTTCTAAACACAGAATAAATAGCTTCCAACTTCACTAAAACAAATACTGGCAAATACGATGGATGATGTATAACGTTAACAGTTACTTACAAATTAACTTGATCATCTTCTTCCGTTTCCTGCCTCCCCTGTCGCTATTGCTGGAACTGGAAGACAGTATAGAAACAGATTATTTTAAGAGAAAACAAGTGATACATTTAAAATAGAACATCTTTCCCCTGATGAACTGTGTATCTGTGTCTGTGTATGTGTTTCTGTGTGTAGGCTTTCGGTGACACTGTCTTGTCCCTTGGATCTTACACTCTTCCCAATGGACACACAGTTGTGTAAGATGCAGCTGGAGAGCTGTGAGTATAAGTACACACACACACAATAGTGGATAATTACAGGCAGTGAACCAACATTTGACAAGGGCAGCTGTGGCTCAGAGGTAGAGCGGGTCATCCACTAATTGGAATGTTGGCGATTTGGTCGAAGTGTTCTTGAGCAAAATACTGATAATAAAACCCCAAATTGTGTGTGTGAATGCTTAGTTTCTGTTCTGGTGAGCAGTTGGCACCTTGCATGGCAGCATGTGTATGAATGTGTGCGAATGGGGTGAGTGTGGCATGTATTTTGTGTACATGTCCACATGTGCATGAAGTGTGCATTTCAGCCTGTGTGTGTGTGGGTGTGTGTGGTGTGCTGTGATATAAAAAAAAAAAGAGTGAAAAAAAACAATTTCCCCCTAGGGGATCAATAAAGTGTATCTTCTTCTTAAAGTCAACTATTATTCTACAAGTCAGCACAAGTACATCTGATAACTTGATTACAGATTTTTGAAAACATAAACCTAGCAGCTGCCTGAGACTAAACAAAGGCTTTACAGGTGAAAGAATGTAAGAAATTAAGGAAGGCATAGCAGTCAGATTATTTTTAATCTTGCTTTATTATTTGCAAGTTTTTTATAATAAAGGGAAGAAAATCATGTATCCTTTTTCGACTTCTGATTCTTGATATTGCTCCTACCGCTGCATGTCGAAGTTTCTTTGAGCAAGATACTAAACTCCAAATTGCTCCTGATGCTGTGTATTGGTGTATGAATGTGCATTAGCTTCTGACTGTATGAATGTGTTTGAATGGGTGGATGTCGCATGTACAGCTGTGTACAGCGGTTTGAGTGGTCTGAAGACTAGAAAAGCACAATATAAGTACAGTCCATTCACAATTTACCATTTACATCCCATGTTGACCTCTGATCCACTGTTAGTATATTGATTAGTGCAGCTAAGACTGTTACCTGTGCTTTATTGTGGATCCAGTAGTAGATCCACTGATTAGTGGTAGAGGGATATTTACTTCTCGATCATTAGATGAGGTTGGACAGTGTTGAAAATAGAGCTGATGAACAGTGTGGCATGGTTGCAGGGGTCTAGCTAATCCATCTAGATGATGGATTAGCAAAATTGTTTTCTTGATTAAACAGCTTGTCATTGTGTTAATAGTGATAAAAAAAATATATATATTTTAGCAAAAGACAAATTTTATTGTTTTAAAATACATTTAGAATTTAGATCTTGTCCACTTCAGTGTAGGCTGCTCACTCTTCTCCAGAAACTAAACATGATCATTGCTACATTTTTTAAATAAAAACTGTTTTATTATTTATTTTTATTTAGCAAAATATGAAGTTATTTTAATTGACTTAAGTTACCGTTATGTGATATAATAATATATTTAATATGTATTAATAATATATAAAGTATACCCTAAGAATCTTATTGAAGGTGTGTCATTAGTTTGCAGAAATTGAAAAATGGAAAAAACAATGAGTTAAAAAAAATATTTCATTATTAAATAATAAAATATATATATATAAATATTTTCATTTTTATGTTTTAGTTGGCTATACCACAAGTGATCTCGTGTTCATGTGGCAGTCTGACCCAGTTCAGATGGATGAGATTGCCCTTCCTCAGTTCGACATCAAACAAGAGGACATAAAATATGGAAACTGCACAAAGTACTACCAAGGAACAGGTTAGTATTTATTAATTATATAATATAACTAAAACATTAACACTGGCACTACATTAAGCATGATTGTAGCAAATAACGAAGTTACAGCTACCACTACAAAACAAACAAGGTTACAAGGTTATGTTGCCTATAAAAACAAAAATATATATAAAAAGTATATTAAATAAATGTGATTAATAAGAAAAAGATAAAACATATGATGGTGTGCTGAAGGTGTATTAAGAAGTCTCAGCCTGAGTGAAGAAGTTGTTCTTCAGTTTGGTGGTACAGCAGTGGACTTCTGTATCTCTTGCCAGATGGCAGCATGGTGAGCAGACCGTGGCTGGGATGGGTACTTTTGGTCTCTGGGCAGGCATGATACTATGTTTAATGTAACACATTCCCATACATTTGATATTCAAATGTTAACTTTTGTTTTGTTGATATTATAATATGGTATTAGATCAAATTACATATGTACTAGCATTGTGATTGATTAAAGTTCCATGAAAAACTGTCACCCCTTGACGAATGTGATTATAGTGCCACATTTGAAAAAGATAATATATATGGCTTGGAGAAATGACATTCCCCTTAAATAGCTCATCATTGTGTTTACTAATCTCTATTCTGATTGCTGTCTCAGTAGATAGAAGAGGGGAGATATGTTGTTATTCTTTGTTGCACAAGGTTCATTATCTATACATACTTACCTGGCAGGGGAGATAACCATAATCAAGAAGGTGTTCACCCAGGGCGAGGCTCAGCCATTGCACTCCGGTTGAGCTGACCTTTGCGAATTCCCCAATGTGGGAATCTCGACTGCATAATTTCTGGTGGTGGGGGACTGCGTTTCCGCTCTCCCCTGATTGTGGGTGGCAGTAGCTCAGGGTGGTAGGTGCCAGTTTCACCTCCTGTGCACTGCTGAGGTGTCCTTGAACAAGACACATAACCCCTAACTGCTCCCGGGCACTACAGCTGCGTACTGGTCCTAAACGTATATAGAATGGGTCAAATGCAGAGGACAAGTTTCATTTCATGTATGTAAAATGCAGAATATAATGTGAAAATGACAATAAAAAGACTTTAATCTAAAAAACAATAAATCATTATGTACATGAAGCACATGACTTGATTGTCACTCAAGCTTTTGCTTTGGCTGTTTTTCATTGAAATTAAAATATGCACTACTTAACACCTAAAACTATAAATTAAAATTAGAGCAGACCAACATGCTAGATTAGTATTGTATCCACTTAATGTGTGGATACTCTTGTGGTTTTGTTGTTACCGTGTTCCTATTTGTGACTGGGGACGAGAAACAAGTACACCAATATTATATTTAGTTTTTCACGTTTTATGTTTTGTCTGTTTAAGTTCAGGGGTTCTTCTTTCAATCACAATTCTTGTTAACAAGAATGTTCCATTTATCATGCACACAGTTGAGGCTGATTCTGCTGGTCGCTAAATAATCGTGGTAGGCATTTGACTCATAAAATGAACCCCAGTGCAATCAGCTGAAAAGCAATTAAACTGCGAGCAAAGCATTCATTCATCAAGTATTTGGCCACACCTGTTAATTCTTGAATTCAGGTGTTTCAATCAGACACCTTCCCTGGGCGGCTGTGGCTCAGAGGCAGAGCGGGTCGTCCCCAATCAGAAGGTTGTTGGTTCGATCCCCGGCTCCTCCTGCCACGTGTCGAAAAGTATCCTTGAGCAAGATACTGAACCCCAAAATTGAATGTGTATGATTGAGTTAGTTTCTGTTCGATGGCCATCACTGAGTGAATGTGTGTGAAAGGGTGGAATGTGGCACGTAGTGTAAAAGCGCTTTGAGTGGTCGGAAGACTAGAAAGGCGCTATACAAGTACAGGTCCATTTACCATTCCCCCTGGTGTATAAAGTCAATCACCTAGCCATTGTGATTGAAGAGCTCTGTGACTGTGATAGGATGCCACCTTTGCTATAAGACGGTTCGTGAAATTTCACGGTCAACTGTAAGTGATATTATTAGAAATTTTTTAAGCACAACAGCAACTCAGCCCCGAAGCGGAAGACCACGTAAAATCACAGAGTGGGGTCAACGACTGCTATGGCGCATGGTTCGTAAAAGTCACCAACGCTCCGCTTCCATAGCTGAAGAGTTCAGAACTTCCACTGGCATTAGTGTGAGCCGGAAACTATTCATGGAATTGGTTTCCATGGCTGAGCAGCTGCATGCAAGCCTTACATCATCAAGTCCAATGCCAAGCGTTGAATGGAGTGGTGTAAAGCGCATCGTCACTGGACTGTGGAGCAGTGGAATTGTGTTCTGTGGAGTGACGAATAACGCTTCTCTGTTTGGTAGTCAGATGGTCGAGTCTAGGTTTGGCTAATGCCGGGAGAACATTACCTGCCTCATTGTGCCAACTATGAAGTTTGGTGAAAGAGGGATAATGGTATGAGGCTGGGTTTGGGCTAGGCCCCTTATCTCCAGTGAAGGGCTATGTTAATGCTTCAGCATACCAAGACATTTTGGACAATGTTATGCTTCCAACTTTGTGGCAACAGTTTGGGAAGGCCCTTTTCTGTTCCAACATGACTGTGCCCCAGCGCACAAAGCAAGGTCCATAAAGACATGGTTTGATGAGTTTGGTGTGGAAGAACTTGACTGGCCCGCAGAGCCCTGACCTCATTCTTATCAAGGCACCTTTGGGGATCATCAGTGCCTGACCTTATAAATGCTCTACAGAATGAATGGACACAAATTCCCACAGAAACACTCCAAAATCTTGTGGAAAGCCTTCCAAGAAGAGTGGAAGCTGTTATAGCTGCAAAAGGGGGACCAACTCCATATTAAAGTATGTATTTGAAAACAATGGCGGCCGAATACTTTTGTCCATACAATGTACATGTTTGACTACAGTTTCTATATTGGTCGCAGATATGAAAAAAAAACCTCCTGTATCTATTTCAGATTAAAAGCTCTCTGGCATTTATGTGGAGAGAATCCA